GACGCACACCGACGACGTTGATCTGGCACAACAAAATGTTCTAAAATTACCGATGCCTCTTGACGAGGTGGTGGGCGCGCACTATTCGTGGCCCTAATCGACGCGATTTTGCGCGGGCGAGCGGCGCATTTCAAGCCGCCACGCAACCACCTGAGCCACCCAGCATCCCCAAATACCCGGGATGACTAGTGCGGTGCGAGCGTCAAATATTTCCCTATGCTGCCGATGAGTCAGTCAACCGATGATGCGAGAATTTTTGGCAGCGCGTATTATCGCCCCTCCCCCCCCCATCCTCCCCCTCTCTCGATCACGTCGTCGTTTTATCCTTGCGATCGTCATTGCCCGCTGCCTTTCTGCGTCGTGCGTCTCTTTCATTGATCGATGCGCGGGACGGAAGATAAATAAGAGTCGCGCGCGATAACAAACACGACGGTGCGATCGAAAAATCGTTGGATTGACACGAGGTGTAAATTAGGATGCTTTCGGACGACGCTATCCGCATAAAATTGCGAAAAGCGAGACCTGCTCTGGCACGAGACCGCGGGCGAGTTTGTATTCCATTCGTGTGACGCGCTTTAAACGTCGCACGCTGTGATTTACAGCGGTGCGAAAACGTTTAAAAACTTAAAGTACGAAAAAGTCAAGTAGTCTAAAATTTCATTCGGGGAAAGTCCAATTTAGAAAAAAATATATGAAGTGATTTCAAGAAGGACGTTTTGTTTGTGATATTAACGCAGATATTTTGATACGAATGTATTATGTAATATTTAACAGGACGATTTTTATTAGTATTAATCATCTAATATTTATATAGAAAGAGTAATAGACGTTTTTGGATATTCAATTCCGTCTTATCTAGTAACATTTAGTCTTTAACACGTGTTTCTCGTATCTTCAACGTGTAAATTTTTATGTGACATCTTTTTTATTCCACGTTTCTCCAATTATTTACTTATTAAATCTCAACGTAACGTGTATTATTTGATAACTTGGGACGACGGCAGCTTAATCTGGAAAGCTAAAAATATTAGCTATACGATTTCAAAGGAGCGTGCGATGAGAGGCAGAGAAGCAAAGAAGCGCGTGTCTCTCTTCTTTTTTTTTTTTTTTTTTTTTTATCCGTAGTACTCCATGCTTCTCACGCTTTATCGCCATTTATGCGAAACGGCCGCTGCAGGCGATGCATTTTAAATTGCTTCTGTACCACGACGATCGCTATTACGTACTTTGGTGCTACGCGAGCGGTGAGTCACGACGACTCGCGACGACTCGCGAGGCTTTCGCACGTTTTTGCGCGACACGTTACCGAGATCGTTGATTAATGATCGTTTCCGGTAGACACGAGCATTTACGCCGGCCTTTCAGAAGCCTGTGCTCCGCAACGATGAGAGTGTTATTTCCGATCGTGACAGCAGAATTCTCCGTACATCAAATCGAATGTAATTTAATTACGAAACCCTCAGGAGCAGAGTCCGAGAGATCACTAAAGTACTCGGCGTAGTGATCTTCTTCGGCGAGAGACTCGAGGTCGAGCCTTGCCTTCGATCAAAAGAGTCGAGAAGTTTTCATATTAAATTTGAAAAAACGATAGTGCGAAGGTAGTACTCTGAGAGTAAATCGCGGAAAAAGAATCATTCTCTTTAAACAGTTATATTAATGGCTGACCGGCGGCGTTTCTAAAATCACTGCCTACAGGCTATTACCTGCGTTATCCATCATAGACTTGTGGAACGAGGCTTAAGAGTTCCTCTCGCATATATTTCAGAATGAAATCGCCGAAGCAATTACCGGACAAAAGTACAATTTATATCAGTCGACGCGAGATATTTGGAAAAATAAACAAATGAAAATTCGCGGATTTAATCTCCAATCCTCTTTATTAATTCCTCTTTCATAAATAATCGAGTATCGATCGGACAGCGGACAGAGTCTTAAGCTGTAGAGTGGTCAATGTCAAAGCTGAATTAAATCGAAT